TTTTTTTTTTTTTTCTGCCTCAGGCTGCCTTAAGGGCAGGTCTGGTAAGGCAGGTGGAGGTGGGGATTGAACCATGGTATCCTGTGTCTGGCTGTATTTGCATGAGCAGGTGCTTACACAACTGTGCTAAACTGCAGGCCCCCAAAGTTGAGAATTTTTTTTTTGACAGAAGATAGATTGGGAGGCATAGTAAGATGCTGCTCAATAAGTACTTTGTTCTAATAAATTATTCCAACAGTAGTTATTCCAGTTTTCAAGACAGTAAATATTCAATAAGATTAATTAGAAAAAGAACCTGGACAAGGCAGGGACACAATGTGGTGAGCCTAAAGAGCTCACTAGTTCAGTACTTTCTTATCCTTAAGTAAAATAAAGAAATTTACCATTTTAAGTGTAAAGGGCTTGTGAAAATTGATATACGGTCTGTGCAGAAAACATTTATTTTGTATACAGATGAATGTCCATTTTGTATCTGTGTATTCAAAGTGGTTGGGATAGATATATAGTTACATTCTGTTAATGAATAGAATGATTTGTTCTAATGGTGTTTGTAAATAGGATCACAAGTCCGCATCTTGTGCAGCAATTAACCACTAAGAAGAATATATGCAGTGTATTATTTGTTGAAAAAAAAATTGCAAACCCCCCCCCCAAAAAAAAGAATTATACAATGTGTTAATTATTGAAACTGTCCTACCAATTTGGTTTGAAACTGTCTCATTGCTATTTGTTTCTCAATAAATTTATGGAAAAAAAAAAAGAAGAAGTAAAGCCATGTTGTTATGTTGAGCTGTAGGGGACTCAGGTCAACAATTTCTGACACTGCCAGTCAAGTGGAAGACCCAATACTATTTATGGGCTACTGGACTCTTTTAGAATATTTTGCTGAGTTTACACACCTATAATATTCAATAACGGAACTTAGAAAAAAGGGGGTATAAAGATGAATGTTCATTTTTTATCTGTGTATTCGAAGTGGTTAGGATATATAGTTACATTCTCTTAGTGAATAGAATGATTTGTTCTAATGGTGTTTGTAAATAGGATCTCAAGTCCGCATCTTGTATAGCAATTAACCACTAAGAAGAATATATTCAGTGTGTTAGTTTTTGAAACTGTACTACCGATTTGATTTGAAACTGTCTCATTGCTATCTGTTTATCAATAAAAATTTGAAAAAAAAAAAAAAGAAAACATTTATTTTAATTACTTGGCTTTCTCCCAACTCAGGAAATATAATGGGCTGGATATCGGCATATCTTTGAATTATAATTAGATTCTAGAGAGGGGGAGGTACAGGTAGACAGACAAAAAGACACACAGAGACAGAGACAGGTTTTTAAAGATAGTCTCAATTCTTCTGCCTCAGTATGTATTTATTTATGTATGTATTTTATTTGATACAGGATTTCGCTACACACCTTGGACTTGTACTGATCCTCTTGTCTCAGCCTCCCTAGCACTTGGATTATAGGTGTGCGCCACCATGCTGGGTTTGGGGGCCAGCACAGTGTGCATGGGGTTCTGGGGCTGGCATGGCATACAGTACCTCAACAGAACTCAAGTCTTTGCGCTTGCCAGGCAGGCGCTTAGACTGCTGAGCTATCTCCCCAGTCCCTGTCTCTGCTTCCTGAATACTGGGATTATACCATGCCCATTTGAGGTAATTTTTTTTTTTCCATATAAGTAAAAACTGTTTATATACACCAGGATTACTTAACAGAAACATGATTAGTGGTGGGGGATTGGTACACCCAGCTCCTTCTTCACATCAAGCCCCTTAGAAAACAGCATTAATCCTACTACTGTGTCTCTACAGGGCTTAGGCAGGGCAGGTTCCCAGGATTTTTCTCTTTTTTGGATTTTATTTTACAGAAAAAAAAAATGAAAACAAAATTTCAAAACAAGATAATATGTCAGTAACAATGGTTAATACATCAAGTATTATTATTTTTAAATTACTCAGAGTATAATATACACATTTAATTGTCCAAACTATATTAGTATAAACCTTTCTTTTCAATGAACTAAGAGAAATCAGTAGTATAACAATCTTAATTATCTTACACATACATTTATATATACATATTTTTTTTTCTTTTCCCTTCCTTCTTTTCTCCTTTCCCTCATCCCAGTTTCTCAGGTTCTTTTCTACAAGAAAGGAACTAGACATGGCATGCTACAGCCAAGTCACAGCAGCAAATTTATTAAGGTGCTACCACGCTGGGAGTGAGCAGCCTCAGGCTGAGGCCACAGAGCAGAGAAGGCAGACCTATTGCAGGGCTGCAGCTGCCTGCTGTCATCACTGAAAGCCCTAAAAGGTAGTCCTCACCGGCAAAGGGTGAAGGGCCCAAGAGTCCCGCCTGCTTAAGGGGGACTCTTCTGGGGATCTCCCACAGCATCACTGGCAGCTCCTGAGACACCACTTAGCTCTGCCAGCCTTGTTCTAGGTGAAGCTCTTTCTCTCATATTAGATTGGCATCTGAGCAGCATAGTCCTAGACTGCTCAAGTGCTTAGAAAAGGCTACTGGGTAACCAGATTCTTATATTAAAAGCCTTAATCAAAAGTAATTTCAAATTAAAGGAAGAGGACTGGCCCCAAATGACACTCCTGGGAAATTCCTGGAATCTTTCCCAAGACGCTTTTGTGACTAAAGTTTGTGCTGTTTCCTGTGCCCTTGGTTTTACTCCTACCACCCTGGCCCTCTTCCAAGGCAGCTTGCCTCTTCCACTCCTCCTGCTTTCCCCAAACTACACCAACTTTCCTTGGCTGACTAGGCACCTCTGTAAATTCCCTCTATCCCACCAGGGCCTCACAGGAAATCTCAGAACAAAGCCAGTGCAATTACAAGGAACTTCAGATCCATGAATTCTTCAAGTGGGAAAACCTCACACATTGACTTACCTGCAATCTTTTATACACCATATACTGTGCTCCAACTTTATGGTTCTTGAAATTCAGAAAGTTCACAACTTCCCCAGGTACTGAAGCTCTGTCTAGAACACAAAAGGCAACAAATAAACCTCAGAAAATGAAGCCCTCCCATCTAATTAGTCAAATAAGAACTCTACCTTTAAGAGGACAAAGGGTCAGCCAAATTAAGGAAAATTTCTAGGATTTCATCTTTAATCAAAACTATTCACAGTCAGTTCATGTCTGTATAAGAAATCAGTACCTTTTACAAAGAACTTTCACATACATTTTCTCGTTGGAGCCTTACCATCTTGAGTATAGACAAGCACTAATTTAAAATGCAGCAGTTCAAGTTCCCAAAGGTTCGGGAACCTTCCCTGACTACTTAGCCAGCAAGTGTCAAAGTTGAAATCAGAGCCCAGCTTTACAACCTCTTAATCCAAACTCTTGCACAACACAAAACAATCTGATGGATTCAACTCGAACAGCAATATTGTTTCTTCTTGTACTAGACACGCTTTCTTAGTCATGAGATATTAAGGGGGGCATTGCCTAAGTGGTAGAAACACTGCTGTAAGATTTGTTTGCCAGATAACCCAGGCAGAAAATCCAAAGGAAGGCCAAGTAACATTTGTCTCTCTCCCATACCTTTCCCTTCCTCTTTAACTCAGTTTCCACTATTGAGATTTTCTATTTGTGTGTTTCTCCTTTGATTTGGAAATAACTTCAAGCTTACACAAAAGTTACAAAATAATACAGCAAACAGTCACACACTCTATCTAGATTCATCTGCTATTAATATTTAATCCATTTACTTAATCAGTAACTTGCTCTCTCCACACACTCAGCAGACCCTTGCTCCCTGAGCCATATGGAGATAACTTCTGTCCATTACAGTCCTTCACAGCTACATACTTTAGGACTTATTTCCTAAGACTACAAATAAAGACACTTTTTTAAATTAAAGATGACAATTTATTTGAAGATTGTGAAGAAGGAAGAGACAGGTGACAGCTACCCTGGACATGTAGAGAGAAAATGAAATTGAATTGCTCCAAGAATAAGGACACTCCTGCATAACCACAATGTAGTTATCAATATTAGTACATTTAACATTGGTTAGTATTTTAATCTACTATCATATTGAATTACCCTAATAATAATCTTTATAATGCTTCTTTTTCCTCTAATTAAGCAACCAATCTAGGATCAGATATTGCATCTAGCTGCCATTCATCTTTAGTTTCCTTTAACCTGAATATACAGCACTCCTGTGTCATGTATAACATTGACATTTTAGAAGTAGCCTCTCCTCCTTTATATTAACAAAACACTTCCATTGTGCATTACCTGTCACTTCCCTAAGTAATTCCTGATGTTTACAGTTCAGGTTATGAATCCTCAGCCAGTGAACTACAGGAGTGATGTAGTTCTCTGAGTATCACATGTAAAAGCATCCAAAATCTATTTTGATACGAGCCAAAGTACTATCCAATTTACTCAATAAAAACTTTCTATATTTTCCCTTGCCACAAGTAATCTGTAGGGAGATTTGTCCCATGTCAAGATTTTCCCCTAGAAAGAGCATCCATTATTATTTGTCTGTCTTATATATTCATATATAAATTTTCTATTATGATGCACGCAACATGCTGACATCCACAGTTCCTCCATTACTATTCATTATTTGCTATTCTACATTATTTGTCCATCTGTTTATGATCAGTACAAATATATAAGACTGGACTTTCTCAATGATTTATAATTTATCCCTGTACTTAATTATTTTGTTACTCAAACTCTTAGACTTAGCCAGCTTCAAGTTGGCATCTATAACTTCAAGGCACAGTCTCTATTTTTAAGTCTTTTGAAAAAGATTTATTTTTATTTTCTTACTGACATTAAAAATAATGTTCTGTACTTCCATCTTGTCTCTTCACCTGAGATACAATCACTTTTCCAAAAGTCATAGTTTCTTTCAGTGAGAAATAGTGAAAAGACTAAGATGTAGTATAACACTATTAGCGACTTAATCGCTATTTTTGTTGATTTATTTTTATTTTGAATGTGGGTCAGGTTTCTACTTTTTTGCTGGTTCTTGTATCTAAGGTAGATAATTAGCAGATACTTGGTTTGGCTCTGGTAGCAGCTGAATTACTGTTGAACCCTTGTGACCATGCCAGGCTTGGGTATGTACTTGATCAAAACACGTCAGTTTTGGGTGTGTCCTCAGCACAAGCTGATAGTCTTACCCTAAGGTAAGATCCTTACTTATCATCAGATGTGGCCCTTCCCACTGCCTCAACAGAAGGGCTAAGGTTACCCTCTCTAGTCACAAACAGTGCTCACATGGCCTCTGCTCTTAGCCTCATGGCAGCTCTGCTGGGCACTGCCTGGTGTGAGTCTCGCCCCTCAGAAACTCCCCTTTCTCCACTGGCTAACTGCACAAATTCCAGCCCCATCATCACTCCTGAACTCTAAGATTTGCCTCCTCAGTGCTGAGACCTTGAGCTCTACTAAGACTCACCACCATATCTAACTGGAGTCACCAGTGGAATATAATCAGGAAAAAAATGTCAAAAAGAAAGCTCAACCCCAGACACAAGGTTAAACAAAAGAAAACTGACAAGAATCATACTTTCATCACATGTTCTCAGAAAAGAGGTTTTGCAACAACGTGAAAATGTAGAGCAGTCTTCCCCTGCACAGGCTTTGAGATCTGCACCCACAACACAGACACATGGACACAGTGTTCAAATAGTGGGCAGCCCCTTGATACCTTTTTCTGGTGGGAAAATCTCAGAACTGAACCTGAGTCCTTTGCACTGAGATACATCCCTGGCCCCAGCCTTATTCACCTATTTACTTATTTACTTAGTTATATATTAGCAAAAGGGTCTTTAACTCACTCAATTGCCTTACCTGACTTCAAACTTTTTTTTGGGGGGGGTTGGGGGCAGGAGTAGAACTGGGTATGGAATTCAGGCCCTTGAGCTTGCCAAGGCAAGCACTTATTCTGCTGAGTAACCTTCCCAGCCCCCCTGACCTCAAACTTGTGATCAAGCTGCCTCAGCTTCCCAGAGTGCTGGGATCACAGGTATGTGCCACCAAACCTGGCTCTCCTGCTACTTCTTGAGCAGATTCTTCTGGGCATCAGATATCCACACTGTACCCCATCTAGTTCACATACTCCAAAGGATTCATGCACCACAGGCCATATTTTTCTTAGGTTTTACTTTAAGTGCCCTAGAATTTAAAAGTACACATCTGATGGAAGTGCTGGCCTGTCCTTTGGCCCACCCTGTACTTTCGTCCCTTGTCCTGGCATTCCACATCCTATAGGGACTCTTAAAACAGTCTCCTCAAAGGCGTTGGTGTCTTGCGTGGCCTCTGGAATTCTGTTTCCCAAGTCAGCACATGTCTGCCACCACAGCACAAATTTTCCTGCAGTTCTCTGTGCCAGGAGCTCTGTGCCCTCAAATAAGACTAAGGGCTGGCCAGACAGATGAACAAACTACAGGGCCTGCTTAGGCAGAGTTCAGTGTCTGGGGTTTGATCCCTGGCCTGCCATGCTGGGGCCTGCCCCCAGAATGCCCTGAGACTGGACATGGTGGTGCACACCTGTAATCCCAGCACTTGGGAGACTAAAAGCAGGAAAATCACTACTAGTCTGATCTACATAGTGAGACCCTGTAGACACTGTACTAAATAAAATAAAGTAAGACTTCTAGGCTATGCTCCTTAACCTCTCCTTTTCCATTTTCTTTCCCCACATTTCATGCTCCACCACCTGTGCAAACCCACAGGCATTGTGTGACTACACCCTTGCTCATACAAGGCCCTTGTTACCTCTTCTTATCTTGACTGATTCACTGGAACTGGACAACCCCTCAACAGTTTTCCCTGATCGCAGCCTGAAGCTGCCAGTGCCTCACCTTACCATGTATATTACACCGGTTCTCACCTTTATACTAACCACTGCTGAGCACTTTTAACACATCTGGCACGGGCCATAATCCATATGCCTTGCTGCTGGGTGACTCTGAACCACTAGAGGCACATGCACAACTTCCCCATATGTACTGTACTTTTTCAGTCTTAATAATGATTAATTATCCCTGCTTTACAAATGAGAAATTGAGAGAGAAAATGGAACTTGCCCTTGTTATCCAGCTTGTAACTACCAGAGCTGGGATTCAACTCCGGGCTACCTGGAGTCTCAGTCTGAGTCTTAGACTCACAGCCACTTCAGGAACCACCTCTCCCCAGACATCCACCAAAAACTAGTGTGAGGCCAGACTCAGGAGAAGGCAGCCCAGCAGGACGTCCTTCACGAGGATGCTCGCTGGGGAGCTATGCTATCATGACACATAACAGGAGTGTAGCACTCTGTGATGATCCAGACTAAAAATCATCCAAAAGACACTTGCATTTGTCACTTTGGGAAGCCATCTTCTCAGTGATTTCACACATGCTGAAAGTGAAGAGGGGGGCTAAGAACATGCGCTCGGGAGCTGGGCAGTTTCTCCTCCTGTGATAAGTCTGCGGCCTTGAGGGAACTCTTCACCTCTCTCTGTGATCAGTGCCTTCACAGTTAGAATTACATGACATAACATATGAGAACAGCTGAGTTTCCTGGCAATCCGTGTTACACAAAATAAAAATAATAAATAATTGTTACTATTTTGCTCTAAGATTCATGCTAAGCCATATGGGAAAACAGCAAATAGACAGTATTTGTCTGGGAACCAAGAAAGATGGAATATATAGGATTTGAAATAAAATGTACATTCAGTGAAATATCATTACATAATATACAATTACAACTCAAGAAAAAGTATGAGTCTGTGTTTTGAGATGGTACAGAATAAGAAAATCATTTTTGGTGTGTTTTGGCTTTGTTTTTGGTTTTTGAGACAGGGTCCCACTGTACAGTTCAGACCACCTTTGAACTCACTATGTAGCCCAGGATGGCCTGAAACATGTGGCAATCCTCCTGCCTCAGCCTCCCAAGTGCTGGGATTACATTATATACCATTACACTCAGTTAAAATTCCTTCTCTTAAAAGAGGACAGTTTTAGG